GCATGCCTACTTTACAGTCAACCCCGTCATCATCTTCATTACCATCTGGATGCGAACAAACATCGGTGGAAGAATCACTATCTCACCCCACCCAGTCAAATTGAATTTGTCATTTCAAGTGTACATGGTTCAGACATCTACAGAAGCTAGGAATAGAGGCAGTTATGCCAACCGAAAACACACAAAAGCACATTCTGGTGTTGCACAAGAAAGTGAGGAACAACCATGCTTTTTGTGTCCCTGTCACGACTCGAACCGAAATCAGTCGAGTTGGGACTTCAAACCCTTACCTCTGAGCCACACGGTCGATGGCCATCACCTTGTATGAATGGCTCAATCAATTTAGAGTATCATGCTTGGATAAGCCCATTCGATTGTTCAGAGGTATCAGGCACTTTTGATGGTCTTCGGTGTAGGTTTCACTCCCTGGGAAATCGTTAATTCCCCCTGAGATAATGCATTCAAATGGACTCCCAACACCATCAAGAGTGCCAGGTGCCTCTGAACAATCGAATGGGCTAATCCAAACTTGATACTCTGAGGAACAACCAGTTCGAAATCGGTAGCTGATTCGGTTGAATCGAAAAAATTCAAATCCTTAATTACGCAATGTTTATATATGACACAGAAACAGTACAACTGCAGTCCACTCACTTAAGGTCAGACACAACATAACAAACACAAGGTCACTGACATAGGATCAGACTTTCACCAGTTACATTCACAAACTCGATTCATGATAACAGTGGGAATAGTTAGTTACAGTAGCGTTGCCTTTTGTGGCTGCAGTCTCCTCCTGATTTTGCAGTTGTTACATCACTGACTTTAAAGATTCAATACACAGTACCTTTGCAATATCCTCGTTTACAGACTTAGCTGAATGATCACGGATACATCGTGCATACGCATATCTGCGATTTCTCTATCTACACTAGATATTTGCCAATAATGGAACATGTGAGAGTAGCAAACGTCTTTTTAAAGTAAACTAATTAAATATATTCCAGCGCCCCTGAAATCATTTGTTGTTCGTTTATTGCTGGTTCCATGCTGAGAAAGTTTATGTGTGCCTGGCAGTTCTTTCTCCGAGTGAAAGCTTCAAACTGGCTATTTTGCATTTAATTTCCCAAATGAGCTACAGGTTTTCAAATGATTATTATTGCATTATTGATTAGGCATTCCGATACATTTATCTATAAATGTTCCAAAGCTTGCTGGTTTGAATTCGGGTTTTAATGTTCAAATACAGTAAACATGGTGATGGTGAGCCAGTGGTAACATCACCAGATAATCATTCCGGAGGATGTGTTCGAATCCCACCACCTCATTGTGCGTCGTATAGCAACCCCCATTGATTGACAGCTTCCCACTTCTTGAAAATTGCATCATCGTGTATTTAATAAGGGGAAGTGGATATTGTACTCCTTTCTCGGGACAAAATCACGTGGTTATTCGTTTTAGCACGGAGACTGTCAGAAATCCGGTAGAAAATGATCTCTGTTACGATCTGCAGTCTGCCTTTAATCCTACGGCCACATTTTCCAAGTACGTAATTTGTCCTACATTAGTCAATTGGCGGCCCAAGTCTCGCACCCTCTCTCTCGGATGAGTCCATCTTCAATGAAAGATGATTTTGAAAGAAATTCAGTGGCCAGTCGATCGTTATGCTCACACATACACACTCCCAAACACAGCTTTTGCTTTGCCTCTATTGCTGTATGATATTTCCAGGTACTTCTTATGTCAATTCTAGCAGCTTTGGAAATTACAAAAACTGATAGAACAAGTACTTTATGATGTAAAGTAAATTTACTTCTGTTACAATTCCACAAGACGGTGCTGATCGAGGGTATTTGTTTATTGCAAAATACAGATTGGAGGTCACCAATTTTGTATGCATAACACACAAACCTAGTCAGAAACATGCCATCGCAATTCTTTCCGACACACAGAGTAATGTATAGAGCAGTCAGTATTTATTCTTCGTAAACATATTACTTGGTCCTTGATGATCTTGTTATATTTTTAATCGCCGAAAGTTACCGACTACTCACGAATGAGTAGTATCTTACAACACTTCAACTACCCACCCACCAATTGCCACCCCACCCCTTCAAACGTCCACCCCTCCTGATGTTCACAGAAATCGGGTGCTGGGATTGTCAAAAGGCATTGAACATTTGGGAACAGTTCGTTGGGAATTGGCACTGTGTTTGCTGTTGGCCTGGATTATCGTATTCCTGTGCATCTTTAAAGGAATCAAAACCTCCGGAAAAGTAAGTAACATATAATTTGTTCCCGGGGAACCATTGGCAACTGAGTTTCGTTTCACAGGGAGTGCCTATCATCTAATGGATTGCTACTATTGCTGATGTGCTTTTTGGATCGATACCCAAGATTTCAAGAGATGTCAGTGTAATCATTTTTATTCAATCGAAGTTTCATTTCACCGCGAATAAAGTAGGGGAGTATTTGGTTTGTATGTGATGAATTAGTTGCGTAAATGAGACATGAGCTCCCTACCAACAAATGTTTAGGTTTCTGAGTTGATCGAGGTGTGATCCACGCAACAAGTTCGCAAAGATGCGTTGTGCTATATGGTTATGTTGACTCCACAGGCTACAACGATCCACGTAGAGTGACCCGCAAAATACCCGGAAGACGGTGTCTTTCAATAAATGGGTTTCTTCTACAAAAGCGGTACTGAAATACAGATTACAATAGTGTAAAATA